TTAAATGACCTTAACCATTATATACATTGATATTTTTCTGAATCTGACAATATCATATCGATTATTACACGAAACATCATTCCACATCAATCTATTTAGATAGCGAAGATTATTATTTCCACCTTTACTGAAACTAATTAGGTAAAATACAATTAGATATAACGGGATTTCTATATTAACTACCTCTTCCTACTCAATACTTTTCATTGACAGGTTTGCGTTGCTCGTGATTATCGCATTTTGATAGCGTAACCTTCGTAAAGAATATGGTATTGCAATTGGATGTTCAGATAGATATATGGTGTAAAAAAATAAGTGACAATCACGAGAAAATGGCAATATCTCCTCTATGTATATCGCCTGCATAAATCTGTGTTAGTCATCGCGTCATTGTTGTAACCTAGGCAGCTTGATTTCTGGTACCTATCATAACCTGAGTATGAATGCAGTCTATTTGATGATGTCCCCTATAAAACAAAGCCTGGTTTACTGTTTTTTCTATTAGAGATGCAATCAATAGATCTGACTGTTTCTTCCAGTTTCTGCCATTCTTCTTTTATATTTTATCATTCTTCAGCAGTGGGTCATGAAATAATCGATTTAAAAAAACTGACCCAAGTTGGTGGATGTTTTTATGCATTAAAGTTTGTTTAACATCAAACATAGTTGTTGAAACGTAGGATAACATCGTAACTATATTTCAAGTATTAAAAGTTATTCTGATAGCTTATAAGACCTGCTGCTTTATTCCGCTTTATCGCTCTAGTGAGGATTTCATATATTTCATTAAAGCTAAGAATTGTATCGCTGGTATTTCCGAACAAGTTAAATTCGTGTGCTGTAAATTTATGGGAAACATCATTTCCTTTTTATGTTTTGGTATTTCTTATTTTTCCCATTGAAATGATGAAGCCCCGTTTCCCTTTCAAATTCGGTAACTTATAATCCTTGGCTTTCACGTTTTAATAGTATGAACGTTCCTGGTGCAGGCAGATCTAGAAAAAGTGCTTCTGACGAAAACAAATTTATAAAGTGCTATTATTTTTTCTTGAAACAGATAAGTAATTTGATCGGGTAGTAATTGGGTTAGACAGACCCGACTATATCATATCCAAAGATATATATTGCAAAAAACAACATTTTCCATATGCAATTTGTAATTCGTTTAACATAAAGATAAAAAGTAAAATAACAAAAACACCGAGCTACAAAAAAAATTAAAAACGGAAATATCTTATCAAATGGCAAAATCAAAAGCACCAAACAAATGGAAAACAACTGTCATATTCCTCACTTGGTACAGGCATTTCCTTATGTAGAAAATGGTGGATTAAACTTGATTTTATAGCTAGCTAAACGTCTTACTTGTTTGAAAGTCGCATAAAATGCCATTATATTGACAACACTGTGTGAACAAACCAAACAGACATAATAGGTAAAAGTGTCAAAAATAAGGGTACAGCGTTCATCATAATCTTAATCACTATAAAACAAACAAATATGTCAACAAGGAAAACAAAATGGCATATAGACAAAGCATCGAGCCACGCCAAAAGGATATTACCTAAAATGGACTAAACAGTAAAGGTTAATAATTTACATAGACAAATAAAAGAACACTTTAACACGTAACTAAAGTGATAAACAACGTCAGTACCTAAAATCTATACTTCAAGACCGTCATGTATTATTTGTGAAGTTGATACTGAATATTTATCAACAAGGTCTTGGTATCTTTCGATGAACTTTTTTTAGAAAAAGGACGAGACTTTCTTTGACTTAACCCTGGATCATCAACTTTTGGCTCAGACACTGGTGACGTTTTATGAAGTCTGAGTAGCAGCTGCAAACTCTTGAATACCGAATGAGTTGGGAAATGTATATCCCATATGCAGGTGAAGTTGGTATATTGCTACTAAGGTGGGGGAAATTGATATATTAAAATTAAAATCGTCTCGTTTGTCATAGATTCTGGTAAATGAACGTGTTTTTATTTGTTCAGCTGATTATCTAGAATAAGAAGATGTGCTATGGGTGCCAATGAGACAACTCTCCATCCAAGTCACAATGTGTAAAAAGTAAACAATTATAGTTAAAAGTACGGCCTTCAACACGGAGCCTTGGCTCACACCGAACAGCAAGCTATAAAGGGCCCCAAAATGACTAGTGTAAAACAATTACAATGATTTAGCTGTTAATTATACAGTGTTAATTATATATCTTCAAATATGCATATGGGTGTTTGAACTAGTCGAATAACCAATAAATTATTTTTACAATCATAAATACATTTACATTTTGATTATTAATTTGCAGTAAGTAATTGTTTGTCATGTTGAATTTTTGTGCTAAAATTTTAGTAATCATTTAGTTAATTTTGCCACATGAGACTATCTTAATGAAAAAATGCACTCATTATTTAATCTTCTATTCTGTGACATTGTAACATATAAAAATAAAAAAGATATCATACAAATATGACATGAAGGTGCAAATAATGTCCAAGAACAAAAAAGGGGGAATAGTAGCTTTTAAAACTTACTTTCACAATTCAATTTTTAATAAATCATTTATGTTTGAAAAATCAAATATTTCATCAAATGTGTGAGCAACAATAATCAGATAAACAAATCATGTCGTCTTCCAGTGACTTACAGGTCATGATATAGTGTGTGTGGTATTCGTCCTCAGTGTCGTTTGAATCACAAAAGTGGCATGTACTTTCATTTATTGTATACCGATTCCACGTTCCTATTCTAATCTGCAAGCTGTGACTTCAACAGCTTAAAAGAGGGACGAAAGATACCAGAGGGACAGTCAAACTCACAGATCGAAAACAAACTGACAACGCCATGGCCAAAAATAAAAAGACAAACAGACAAATAATAGTACAGATGACATAACATAGAAAACTAAAGACTAAGCAACACGAACCCCACCAAAAACTGGGGGTGATCTCAGGTGCTCCGGAAGGGTAAGCATATCCTGCTCCACATGTGGCACCCGTCGTGTTGCTTATGTTATTACAAATCCGGTAAATAGTCTAATTCGGTAAGTCACATTCGTGAAAAGGGAAGGGTATTGTAGTTACGACATAAGGAACATATCCGATATCATCTGTGAAACGGTTATTCCATAACGGTCAACCAACTCGTGATGGCGTCCGTAAAATTTACGAAGGGATGATTTCAACTTCACCATTTGGAACTCTTGGCTTTATAGCTTCCTTGTGAGCAGCAATCCTCTATCAAGGAAATTATGATAGGAAACACAAGCCTGGGAATATGGTATCAATTGGGAGATATATACTCCGTATGCAGGCGCTGTTGGAATGTTGCTACATAGAAATGTTTATTTAATTTACATTAAATAAACTATTGAATATATGGTTACGCAAAAAATCTATTTAGAAAAACTGTAGCAGATTTTATTTGATAAAATTGTAAGAATTGTTTGTATATGTCATGCTTAGATAGGTCTTTATAGGGGCTTTAACTGTCAAATTCATGATCACCGATTTGACTTGAATTCTCATAATTTATTCATAACATACTAAAACGTAAATCCAAATTCCAAAAAAGCCCACAAGAAACAATTAGCAATGCATGGACTAGATATAATGTATCAGCATTTCGTGCGTATTTTAGACTAGACACCATCGTATTAACCTCCAAAGACTGTTGATAGTCATTCGACCCGATTTAAATATAAATAGACTTAGAAGCACTTGGATTTGTTTAAACACGATTTTCATGGTCTATTTGATTTCATGTCATAGATTTAAAAAATGTAAATTATGATTTTACTTGTATACTAATGATTTAGTGTGGGCCAAATTGGTTAAAGAATGTTTTTTTTTAAGGTGGATCACTCGTTTCACTTTTCAATGTTGGCATTCTTTTCTTGTTTATAACTGAACACGCTTAGGGCATGCGTAACCCATCTTCAGCTAAAGGCCAAATTAGGGTTACATGAATACAGGTTCAACTGAGTTTGAATTTTTGACTTGCAAGTCAATAACAAATTTCCGATGTTTTCGATCTTATTTGAACCAAATTGGGCCAAACTGACCGCTAATAGCGAAATAGTATATCATGATTGCGCTTTTATAACTGTTTGAGACAAATACAATCGTGTTTGAATTTGTTTGTCTAAATGGCACCTAATGCCCTTTTAAAAATCACAACTCCACACTTTTTAATACACATTTATCTGCAAACTGTATATAAACATATTTTTGATATACCACAGTGGTAAAATTAGTTTTGATACAAGTTATCCACTTTGATCATTCAAGTAAATTGAAAGCAATTTATGAAAATAAATAGACAATTTATTTATTAACAATTTATGAATCTGCCTCAGAAAGTAATCTAATTTAAAAACATTCCATGAACAAATTGCAACTGATTTTTTCCGTTTTTTTTTAACTGGATGACATATAAAAAAGACTTTAAGTGAATATTACGCGATTTTGTTGTTTCACTAATATTCACACAAAATGGAAATTCAGACATCGAAAATAGCAATAATACTTAATGCTGAAAATATGCTGGAAATCAGCAGTTTTTTTCACAAATCTGTACATTTAGCGGGAACATTACAATCTTTTATATGCTTTTAATCAAGCCAAAAAGTATAACTAAAATACCGAATTCCAAGGTTAATTCAAAAAGGGGAACTCCATAAAAACTTGTGAATGGATGACTTCCGCTAACTTTCAAAACAGAAATCGAAATGAAATTTTTTTTTAAATCTCTCCTTTAACTTTTTTCGATTTCAGGATCCTTTCATGTGTTTTATCAAATTAAATTCGATTTCATGTAATTCTGTAATTCTGTATTATAACTATTTAAAAATTCATCGCTTTCTAATTTCCAGAAACCGTGCATTTCTAGTTTTTTTTCCATGCGTTTTTATTTTTATTTTATTTTTTTTTTAAATTTGTTCAATTTGTTGGTTTTTTTTTTTTTTGGAAAAGGGGGAAGTAATACAAAAAATACAAAAGAAATATTAAACTATAAGACACAAATATTGAACAAATATCATACATGTCTAGGCATGTGTCTGACAATTTGTTCTATACAAAATATAATTACGTCTATCTCTCTATGATTTCTATACAGCTTTGGTTTTGTTGGTATGTCACTCACATGTGAATCTCTGATATCTTACCACATTAGGATGCTTTCAAAGATGTATTGAAACTACTTATATATGTTTTCCAAGTTCCAATTTTTCCAACCAATAGGTAGCCATTTGTCCTTTTCCCTACAAAGATATACAGATTATTAGTGTAGAATTTTAGTAGTCTAATTTTATCCCTTTATTATCACCACCTATGGTGCTAATAATATTAACGTTACGAATTGTACTGCACCAGATCTAGATGTGCATTTCGACAATAAATGTCTTTTCAGTGATACTCGAGGCAAAAATAAGATTACATATTCAGACGCCATGTTTTTAACAGAATAGTCGTGATTCTTTTTTGTAAGATTACGGGAGATTCAGTTTTGAAGTGAAGTCCAGTAACACTCAACACATTTGATGTACCGTTGATTTGATTTCCCAATTTTTCTCGAATTTGATTAATTGAAAGTATATAATAAAAATAGTATGAAATAAATTTATTGTTTCCGAAGCGCTTTTCAGGATTGTCCCTCATCAGGAACGAGCAAATGAAACAATTTCAAATACAAGGATGTATATTTAAGAAATGAATGCTTCTTTTTGTAATTTTATTGGGGTGTAAAAGTGTTGACCGAAGCATATTGTGTATGAAGCGCGGAATTCTAAAAATGTGTGCACGATCAACACTTTTACACCCCAATAAGATTACAAAAAGAAGCATGCATTTCTTATAATTACATTTTTATGCTAATAAGACCATGAAAAAAAAAGTTTTATCAAGTTTTTCTTTTATTTACCTGAGCACTTTTTGTGGAAGCACGTGTCATCACGAATGTAACATTTCATTTTGATATGAAGGTTAATTTTTGAATGACGCGCGGTTGTTGTTAGCCAATCAAATTAACGGATTCTCGTGAAACATACATGTAATGTACATGTAATTATATACCTTTTACATGTTACTTTACTCCGGGAATGGAATATCTGCTTGCAAGCACATAATAAGAAGCATAACGAATTACCTTTACGTCAATAAAACCTCTAAACTCTGTTATAAAATTCCCATGATGGCTCAATATTTCTTGTGTAACACTACTGATATGTATCCTTCCACCTAAATTAAACAAAAATAATTTCATTACAAAAATTGCAATGGCCGCCTAAAATGGTTTGTGTAGAATAGAGGCAGAAGATACCACGGGAACATTCAGAATCCACAGGTCAAAGAAAAACTGATAACGCCAGGGCAACATAAAACAACGAAAAGACAATTCAGAGAAAACTTTAGATTGAGCAACACAATTCCCACCGAAAAAACGGGGGTGATCTCTTGTGCTCCGACAGCGTTACCATATCCCGATCTACATGCGACACTCATCCAATTAAATAATAGTGTGCCCCCTTCATCACTATGAAATGAAATTGAAATACAACTAAACTATCTATGTTAAATAATCATTTTAATTTAGAAATTTTAGTTTAATTTCATATGTTGGAAGGGTATTTGTTTTAACGAAGAAATTGGTCACCTGACATTCTAAATAATGATGTTCCTTTGGCACCGTATTACGGTGTTTATATGTCCCAACTCTTTCGCTATGCCCGTGTCTGTAGTGACGTTTTGAATTTGAATGAACGTATTCTATGTATTACTAGTAAATTATAAGTCAGGGATTTCGTTACAACAAATTACTTAAAACCCTTACTAAATTCTTACATAGATACAAAGATTTGGTTTGAAAGTATGGCTGTACCTGTAGAAAACTTGTTTCAAAAGGAATAGCACATCCTGAATTTTACGGTGATGCTTTAATTTAGACCGGGATTCGAGTTAACTTATCAATCCTTTAGATAAACTCATTCTAAGAGGTTCCCAATTCAACACTGTGTTTAAATCTTTGAATATTGGTTTTATTGGTATAAATATTGATTTTGTTATCAGTAAATTGAAACCATACTAAATATTATTGTTATACACATATGTACTTTCACAGTACTACAATCTGTCGATACCTATATTTTGGCATTGCACAAGGTCGTGTTTTTCTCTGACTGTTAATGATGTCTTTACACTAAATCCATTGAATGTTGGATGTGTACTGATTGATATTTTAGTTTGGGCTATGAATTTACCATTTGTTTATATTTTGAATAATTACTCAGATTTTGCTAAAATCTTTTGGAATGGTAGGTTTGTACAATCTTTAATAAATGATTTGGTTAAATGTTCAGAAGTAAGCGGCAGGTCTTTCATTTAATAAATCCTGACCGATGTCTTATACGACAAGAAACACCTTGAAATAAAATATGCATTATTTATATCGCAGTTCAAAGCAAGTTTAAGGGTATACGATACAGTTTTGATCCCGTAATGAAATTTTGATGAAAATTTGCATATAGGCTATTTTTTACCTGATTAAATCAAATATACAATAAAAAATATACCATCATGTGCTACTTTTTGAGTAAATTGAGGTTGAAATTTCAGTTATTCCGCAAAATTCGGATTTGTGGACGTATTTTTCCTTTCGACAGAAATACATAACTTTTTTGTTTTAAAAGATAAACACAAGCTGTTTTTTGTTAAATTATTTGTAAATTCTGTTTTATATAAATGTTCTATAAATTTGTACATTTTATTTTGACAAATAACTCATATTTATCAAATGTTCATGAATGTAGAAAAAAAACGACATTTTTGCTGTATATTTATCAAATTTAAAATAATTGCACTCTTGACTGTTTCATGAAAATTGGTACACATGAAAAGGAGGGTCCATGAACTCGTTTTCAAGTTAAATCAGTTAGAATGATAAAAATCAGTCGAAAACTGCATCTTTTCCCGATAAGTCACAGTTTGACGTCGCGAAAATAACAATTTACGTTAGCAACGTCATTACTTCCCCTGTAACTGTATCGTATGCCCTTGATACAAAGCGTTGCTAGTGAACGTCGTTAACATGTGGAAAAGCGTTATCTATTGCTCTGAGTTAAAGACTGTGACCTTGAGATAAGGGCAGAAGTACACACTCTGGTCTTTTGCTATATTCGTGTTTTGCAATGAATTGTACCGGTTTTCAGTCTTAAATTTATAAACCATTTGCTGCTTTTCCACACAAATTTTTATGAATGTATGATTTGTTAAGACGCTCGGTCATTTCAATATTTGTTTAATGTAGGCTTACCCATGCCAAAAGACTGCATTCTCGATGCTGTATTGACTGTGTCACCAAACAGACAATATCTCGGCATTTTAGTACCAACAACTCCAGCAACGCATGGTCCTGAAATAAACAAATGTTTAAAACATAAATGCTCAAATTTAAATATAATTAATGACAAAATCTAAAAGTGAGGCTATTTCGACCGTTTTTATTAATAAGAAGATGTGGTATGAGTGCCAATGAGACAGCTCTCCATCCAAGTCACAATGTATCAAAATTGAACAATTATAGGTCAAAGTACGGCTTTACATTTATGTACTAATTATAAAAATAAGAAGATATGGTATGATTGTCAATGATACAACTCTCCTCAAAAGACCAAATAACACAGAAATTATCAACTATAGGTCACCGTTTGTCCAGAATTAATGCACATATGGGAGACACGATATAAAAAATATCAACACTCATATCTCTTGTCAGACGAATGATTTTTGATCATGAAGACCTGGAGGATGTTGTTCGATAGATTGATAATACTTCTTGATTTTCAAATTCATGGGGCCAAAAACCGGCCTTATCACTCCTTTACCTTAAGGCAAAGGTGGTTTACCAATGTTCAAATCTCATAAATCGATTAAGAGATATAATGCAAGGTAAGGTAGCTACCACTTGATTTTAATAGGGGCCTAGGATGAAAAACTTTGTCCTGCATTTTTTTTTAGTTGTAATCTCTGTCCTGCCTTTTTATTTTTCACTCTATGCGGTCCTGCCTTTTTTTATTAGTGTATCCTGACTTTGTTTTCAAATTTCATCCTAGCATGAATTAGGCAAAATACAATATTAAACATAGCAGCCATATTTTTCCATTTAAATGATCATCGTCAACGACAACACAAGAGAAAATCACAGAAAAAAAAATAAAATATCAAACTATTTATGATATTCTAGTAACCATCCGTCTAAACACGTTTTCAGATCATGATAGGAATCTTTGTATTGTTATCCAGGGCTTGTATTTCCTATCATGATTTCCTTGATATCCAGGGCTTGTATTTCCTATCATGATTTCCTTGATAGAGGGTTGCTGCTCACAAGTAAGCTATTAAAATAAGAGTTCCAATTGATGAAGTTGAAATCATCCCTTCGTTTAATCTACGGACGCCATTATGAGTTGGTTGACCGTTATGGAATATCCGTTTCACGGATGACAACGGATATGTTCCAAATGTCGTAACTACAATCCCGTCCCCTTATCCCCGAATGTGACCTGCCGAATTAGACTTGTCACCGTTTTTATACTAACATATGCAACACTACGGGAGCCGCATTTGGAGCAGAATCGCTTACCCTTCCGGATCACTAGAGATCACCCCAAGTTTTTGGTGGGGTTCGTGTTGCTCAGTCTTTAGTTTTTTATGTTGTGGTTTGTGTGTTGTTTTTTTTTTTTCTTTTTTAGCCATGGCATTGTCCGTTTATTTTCGACTTATGAGTTTGAATGTCCCTTTGGTATCTTTCGCCTCTCTTTTACAAGATAATAAGTATAATTGAAAAGTCTGAATGTTACTCTACAATTGAAGATATATATATAGCTTGAAATCATTCAAAACAAAACCTTTAACGTAACATAAACTATGAATAGATAAAACTAATTTTATTTAATACGGAATGGTACATAACAAGCATTTTTTAACAACCGAAATACTGAATACAAGAGTTTCCCTTTGAATCCACGTTCGTCTTACAAATACAACATAAATAATTAACGAAAATGCCTTTCCTAACAAATGAATTAAAACTGATGTCGAATATATGTCAATGAAACAGCAACCCAACAACACGTTAAATAAAAAAAAAACTTGAACCAACCTGAATGTAGTCCTATCCTAATCTGCAGCGTTCTACCCGACATGTGTGGTATAGTATACCCGTTGACTTCCTGTCGGATTCTTAAGGCCATTAATGCTATTTCTGGTGCATGATTCCCTCCATTAGGTGTCGGTACACCACTTGCCACCATGTAAGAATCACCAATAGTTTCCACTTTATAAACATCATACTTATCTATGCATTCGTCAAAGAAACTATAATGTGAACATTATTACGATTATGAACAACTAACGTTAGGAAATATATAGACAATGTTGATTACTTTTCACTTTTTTAGTTTGAAATTAGTCAAATACATAAAACGTTATTTTGAATAAACACCAACAGTGTTCATCCTGTACATGCATGAAATATTTGCCACTGGACGTTAAGCAAACACTAATCAATCAATCATTACGTTAACAGTGTGATAATAGTGGCTAGATTATAAGCAGAGTCATGTCGTTAAAACTTTCAGATATGAATGGGAGGAAAGAGGACCGAAAGAAAACCAAACCTGGACCAAATATCAGAGCACAACTGACAAAGTGTTTTTTTTTTTATCGACATCTATTTATATGAGATTCATTTTGTGTTGATGAATAGCTTGAATCTTAATGATCTGTTGAATGTTTTAATCATTTAATTATTTTGTTAGAAGCTATATACTATAACTTTGTGAAATTGTGTTTTAGCTTTTGATTTTTCAATTTGATAAGGGACTTTTCATTTTGAATTTTCCTTGGAGTTCGGTTTTTTTTGTTATTTTACTTTTTATTCCTTCAGAGCAAAATCAACATTTCAACATTTACCCACCAAGGTGCATAATTAAACAAAAAACATTTTATTAACCTGTTCTTGAATCGAATTTTTCTAAATTTCTGAACTATTCAGCACGTTCTATTATAAAACTTAGAAATAAGCATACCTGTATAAATCGTTCAGTAGGTTAACAATTTCAATTGGGTGACTTTCAGCTCCTAGTTTTGTAAAGCCTACAATATCACTGAAGTATATTGTCACTTCATTGAAAAATTCCGCAATAGAAGATTTTCCTGTTTTCAAATTGATAACAATTTGTTTTGGTAACATCTGATAAAGTAGATTATCAGTCTTGTTCTTTTCTTTTGCTAGCTCGTCAGTCTTCCACTTAATTTTCTCAGCAAACTTTAATAAATTTCCTGTCATTTTGGCAACAGAGTACACATACGAAGTAAACAAAATAGCGCTACTTGTTACAACAGCTATCAAAGTGGACAGAAAAAGTGAAAACTCAAACTGGGCAACTGATTGTATAACTTCTGAAGAAGACTGTATATCTGTGTTGACAGATTCACGAATTTCGAAAAATATATCAATGAAAATTGTCATATTACTAAACCATTCTATACCTTTAGTTTCTCTCTCAGACTGTGACGTAGTGGTACAAATATTTTCATAATCCTTAAACAATTGAAATGAATAATATTTATCGACAAAATATGACAAATAAGCTGAGTTTTGCATCTTTTCTGTCAACTGTGTTTCAATGTTCCCATGGTGATTTATTGCTGTGTCTAAAAACGCCGATGACCGTCCATGTAATGTCTTATAATATGTCTCTATTTCTGTAGATTGCCATCCACAAGAGGTAAAAAATGTGGTTCCAAGAGCTCTTTGGATGCCTTTGTCATCTGTCAGTGATAATAAAGCTTCACAAGCCACGACCATCTGTTGCACTGCTGCATTATCCGATGGAGTAACAGACTGAACTATATACTTCAACAAGGCATGAGTAATTGTTGTATAATAGTCTAAATTATAGATGATATTTATAGATCTGTTCTCAACACTCCTTCTATGGTCGGCTAATGATGATAACAAATCGTCTACTGTCCAATAAGAGTTCCTTACAAAAATACCAATGTAAGGCCACTTTATGTTGCTCAAGCTTGTATTCGTTTCTTGTCTAAGTATATGTAGCTGCGCTAATATAGCAGCTGAAAAATTTGATGTCCCAATGAAGGATGTAGACATACCTCGTTCTCGTTGTAGATGCTGTATCAATTCACTAATTTTCAGATTGTCGTCTATATTTTCTATAGCTATTGATGTACTATGTCGGATTTTAGATGCTCGACTTAAGGAAATTCCAGAGAACATTATTATTGCTGATATAGGAATGATGATTACAACGAACATTTTCCAGTGGTTACATAAACTTTTGATTTCAGATGCTCTTGCTTCCTCCATTGCATTGCTAACAATTTGTCGATCATTCTCGTTATCAACACTTTTAGTGCAAGATCCAACTTCTATCCCTAACTCCGGACTTTTGCTACCGCTTTTATTGCATTTTATCATATCTCAAATATGTGCTGACTTCTAATTGTTTATTTTCTGTAAACAAAAATCAGATTATGAAGTTGCTGGAAGTCTGAATTTATCCGCAAAATTACAATCGATAGGATAATTGAGTAAAATTAGATGATAAATACATGTGTGAACCATGCTAACGATTCCAATTGTGCGAAGTTTTACTTTTCTTTATGTTCATCATAGTTATTTGACAAAAATGGCTTTGTTTACACCAAGGCATTTGTTTTGAGATAGGGTTAAACTTGTGCGACTGCAAAAATGTTAAGGCCTAGAAAGATCTGGATATATAAAAGAAAATGCATTTTGTGTTTCAGAATTCAATTGTTTCATGGATTTTGATGTGCAAATCTTTGAGATATAAGTGGTTAATTAGCCGAGCCGCGATATATTCGTTTTGGCGCCCAGGTGACCGGACGTCAACAATTAGGATAAAAAAACCAATGAAGATTGTTGAGAAAAGAGGTTGGCATGTTATTAACATTGTTTACAAATATCCTATTGTTTTTATTTTAGAAAATAAAAACAACAGGGACTGTTCCAGCCGCATTTTGAAAGGTTGTTTTATTTCATAACGCTTAAAAGTTTCACATTTTCCGATATTTTTCGTAAACAGTCAGTTGTACCACGTACTATTATTTGTCTATTTGTCTTTTTTATTTTTGGCCATGGCGTTTCAGTTTGTTTTCGATCTGTGAGTTTGACTGTCCCTTTGGTATCTTTCGTCCCTCTTTTATACAAGTGAGTTCAGAATCAATGTTTGCTTTTGATTTGAAATAATTGACTCTGAATAGAATAAGATAATGATGATGTTAAAACACGTTTGTTGAAAATATGTAATGATGTTTAGATTCTTGCACAAGTCAATTGAAAGCAATGTTGGATAGTTGTGAATAGTAAAGTGTATATATACAGCTACAATTTGAATTTACATTTAAAGGCTTGACTATTTTATTATTACTTGGGAATGTACATCATTTTTTCATAATCCTATTGCAAATATCAGTTTCTGCAAACTGGATGTCTAATGCAAATTGCACAAACCAATCACAATATAAATTTAAGCACTCAGTTTGCTTTATAATCTGGATGTATTTCTTTTATCTATCATATATTCATAATTATTTTGTTTCCTGGATGCCTTCAATTATTCTTATACTCGTCATTGAAGTTGGCTGTACTCATGGTAGATGTTGTATAAATAGATTTAAAGTCCATTTCCATGTGAAGTGAAAAACCTGTTGCATGCAACTTATAAGAAGGTTTCGTACATTTTTCTTGAGAGTAGCACACAAGCTTCATTGGGATCATTTATACACTGACAATTAACTTGGATTCATAAAACATCTCAAATGTTAACGATTTCCTGAAGTTACTTAAATCAATACAAATATTCTACGGGAAAACTTGGTTTTGAAGAATATCTTATTTTCAGAAGATTTATGAATACCTGAACATACTCTCAAAAGAACGCATTTATATAAAAAGATATGTAAATATAAAAAGATACCAGGAATGAATTGTTGTACGCCGGACGCGAGTTCAGTCTACAAAAGACTCATCAGTGGTGCTCGAATGACAAAAAGTTAAAAAGGCTAAATAAAGTACGAAGTTGAAAGTAATTGAAGACCCACAATTTCGTAACAAAGGTGTTGCCGAATACATATAAGTTATCTATTCATTGGGTAGAAAACCCTTAGCATTTAGAAAATGTCAAAGTTTATAATACTAGAACAGTCACTCAAAAAAAGAAGAGATACAGCTAGAGGTTAGAATACCTTAAGTAATGATGACCATACTTGAAAGTCACATGTCAAGCTCTTACTGACTGGAATTTAGATAAGAAAAGCGAAAATTCACATTCGCGAGTGAAATTAATATTTATGCATGCACGCGTTTTTTTTTCTTTGTTTGTTTTTTTTGTGTTTTTTTTTTTTGTGTGTTTGTTTGTGCAAGAAATAGTAAAATGAAAGCATACGCACTGATACTCTGGATAAGAATACGCATTTGCGTCATCACATATATTAATTTAGGCTCAAATTTAATGTTTTATAGTAGAATTCGGATGTTAAACTACCTTCATCAAGTGTTTTAACTCCGAATTAATTGTCAATTAATCCGAAATTTATGTGAACGCAAACCGATAGTGTGTAGTGAGAACAGGGTGATATATAATGTAAAAGGATAGCTGGTCATCACAATGAATACAATTTTTCAAATTCGCACCATATTGCATAGATTTAGATGCTATAATGTTTAACTATTAAAATAAAAAAAGAATTGAAATTCAATAGTTAACATACATTCCTGTTATTGAATCTTTTCCAAAAATTTAGAATATAATATCAATTAACACAAACGTCAAGTATTTACTGATGGACATTTTATTTATCACATCAATCTCTTCTTAAAGTCTTACTTTCTACTATATGAATACATTGCTATACAAAATATAAACAGGGACTTATGAATCAATACTAAAACAGTATAAAATAATTAACGTCGTAATTAATTTTTTTTTTTATAATTATTGTAAAATATTAATTACGTTTTTTGTGAGATGCAAGGATTTAGTAATCACTGTTCAAACCTGTGGGACATAATGCACGTATATATAACATTTTTAATTATATTCTATTAATGATACATTTGTCTCATTTAATAAGTAATAATTTTAATGAATATTCTTTTGGTCTGGTAGTATCTATTAATGAAATTAAATACTTTTGACAGAAAAATACGTTTGTTTAATTATCTTTCTGCTTTCCGACCACTGTGTTTTCGACCTAAGATAAATATTTATAACAGAAATATCGTTTTGTTAATTTTCTTCATGCTTTCCGGCATTTTACTGGGTACAAAATATTACGTGATAAACGTTCATAAATAATCAGTTTATTCTGGGACATTATATATTAATAAACTATTCCCAGGTTTATTGTCACAATGCACAACAGCACGCTGTATTAAATACTACACACACAACGCGTTCAGTGACCGTCTCAAAGCATGAACTATATAATTGCGTTATCATTATACTTGATATTTAATAAACATTAGCATTATTAAAAACACATATGTTTTATCAAAAGGCAAATAGGTTCTAACATAAATATGATTTTTTGACAGCAACCTAGTCTTTATTTTTTTACCATCCGATCTACAAATAACTTTGATTGTTGAAATATACAATGTCACGTGGCAGCATATCCATAGAGCGACCGTATCAAAGACAGATAACTTCCTGTATAAATGATCGAAAATTTTCGAGACGTTCCGAGAATCTTCTTTCCAGATATATTCGAATGGCCCATAGACGCTACCAAAACTCACAAATATTTACAAAATAAGACACAGACTTTTTAAAATCACTGAAACAGTAATTTGAGAAGTAAATATTTAAACACCTAAGTAAGTGATTATAAGGTTTTTTCTTAATTTTGTTTACACAGTCTTGGTCTTTTAATTGGTTAAAAGACAAGAATTTCATCGAAAAAACAACTGTATACATGCAGACATGGTCTTTTACTCGATTAACCTGTCGGTGTTTATAGTTTATTTGAAATATGCCTAATGTAAACGATTCAACCTTTAGAAGTAGTAAATAAGCTGCCTGGGGAAAGTCATTCAAAGTTTGTACGATCACGGAAAATAATTGAATTTAATTGGATTAAAAAATTACAGACAGTCTATCCTCTCGGTCTTAATGATAATATCATGGGAATTGGTAATATATCAAGAACCGATTCTGTTAACATTTTGAATATAGTTTCTAAAACTGTTCGTTAAAACTGTTCTAATGGGCGTAGAATAAATCGCAGTCAGAAAAAATT